CATTCCTGCCCACATTCTGCATGAGGGACATTCATTTCCATGTTAGTATTGGGGTGACTCCCATGGCCCTTCAAATGGAATGGCTCAAACACTTAGAAAAAAATCTTGGAGGAAAATAGAAGATTTCCCCCATCTCTATAGCCAAGAGCCTATGTTGGAAGGAGTAGGTGTTCTGTTAGGAAAGTGAGAGACCTGCTACCTGACTGTGGGAGGGTTTCCACTCTAGGGACCCCAGCCATGGGACCCAGGAGAACAGTGTGATGTGCCAAGGGTAGCATCATGCCCAGGCCAGGGAGACTAGCTCCATCTGGTAGGGCAGGTGGTCAGGAAAGGAGAGATGGGGCAGCTGTGGGCAAACTACGGCCCGCGGGCCAGATCCGGCCAGTTTGAAATGAATAAAACTAAAAAAACAAAAGACCATACCCTTTTATGTAATGATGTCTACTTTGAATTTATATTAGTTCACACACACACTCCATCCATGCTTTTGTTCCGTCCCTCCGGTCCAGTTTAAGAACCCATTGTGGCCCTCCAGTCAAAAAGTTTGCCCACCCCTGAAGGGCAGCCCCGAAGGATGTGGGTCCTTAGGGCATTGGTCTCGATCCTGAGAGCGCTGGGGGTGGGGTGGGAAGGTAGGGGGTGGGTAAATGATGGTTGTTTTCTTTTGGGTTTGTTTTTCCTTTTCACCAAAGAGTTCTAGGCTTCTCCGATCTGCACTTTTAAGATCCTTGAGGGTGCAAGGGGGAGAATTGATTAGTTTTTCCAATTCTAGGCTTTAGGTAAAAACTCCCCAAGGCAATTTTGAACCTTTGGCAAAACCAGCTTCCTTATCCCTGCACCTACTCCCTAGGCACGCACAGACCACCAGGTCTGAGGAAACAACCAGGGAGCCAAGCATGTGGCCAAACCACGGCTGGCCCCACCCTTGGCGACGCCAGCCTGGCATGTGTGCCCCTGGCCAGAGATCCTCCCCCACCTCCCTGACTTGTTAGAGGCCAGGATGACTCAACCCTCCCCAGGGAGCATGTTGAGGGCAAGGTCTGGCCAACACTCACCCATTTTTCTCTTTGGTTGGATAGGAGGTATTCCTGGAAAAGGGGAAAGAAGGAATGAGGGCTGCACCACTTCCCTGGGGGCTGGGTGAGGTGGGAAGGGCTCATGGCTCTTTGGGGCTCGATGCCTGTGTTGGGTCTTCAGTGGAACTGCAGACACTCCCCACTGTCCTCGCATGGCTGAGCTGCTTGGCTGCTCCTGCAGGGAGGCAGAGCGGAGGAGTGGGAAGTCATTGGCACCTGGCACCATCTGGGCATCTGTGCAAACACATTGAACTTATCTGAACCTTAGTTTCCTCACTCAGGCTTAAGGGACTATTGTGAGATTTAATCACATGTGAGCATAGTAGGTGCTCAACAAATATTTCTCTTATACTCCCATCCCCTGCTTCCCATGGGTTGTTGGATTTGGAAGAGAACTCTGAAATGGTCTAAAATTCATTTTGTTGAGGAGGAAACTAAGGCTAAAAGTGTTTGGTAACAAGTTGGTTTTCTCTATTTTTATATTTTTTATTATAAGAACAGTCTTTGAATACTTGCCCACTATAAAAAGAATTATATAATGGAGAGGCTTGTATAGTAAAAATTAAAGTCCCTCTCTACTCTCTCCCTCATCTCCACTTCCTGTCCTAGATATATATCATCACTGTTGACAATTTGATAATCATCCTCCTAGAGTGCTCCCGATGCATGTGTATGTATGTTTGTATGTCATTTTTTAAAAAACAAGTAGGTTCCTGTCATACATGTTGTTATATAACTTGCTTTTTCCACTTAACCAGTATCTTGGAGAACTTTCTGTAATTTTCCACAGGTCTGCCTAATCCTTTTCAATGGCCACAAAGGCTATATATGGATGTGCCTGATATATTGTGACCAGGAAGCTAGGGTTCTGGCTCAAGGAATCTGGCTCCAGAGGATGCAAAGCATTTGCCTCTGCCCTTAGGGTGACTATATTCTCCTACTGAAGGCTTTTGTTATTTCTAAATTCTTGCCATTGCAGGCATGTTGTCAATGAAAACTCAGGTACAACCTCAGGGCTACATATTTCTACTTGATAGATTCCCTGATGCTCATTCCAACTTTGAGGACTATTGTCGACATTTCCTCTAAATCAGTGGTTCTCAACCTTCCTAATGCCACGATCCTTTAATACAGTTCCTCATGTTGTGGTGACCCCGAATTTCATTGTTATAAATTGAACATAATTAAAGCATAGTGATTAATCACAAAAACAATATGTAATTCTATATGTGTATGTGTTTTCCAACGGTCTTAGGTGACCCCTGTGAAAGGGTCATTCGACCCCAAAGGGGTCGCGACCCACAGGTTGAGAACCACTGCTCTAAATAGACAGGCTATAAAAGTGCTAGGTCTTTCATACCCTCACCAACACCACTTAAATATATACATATAATGTTAACAATAAGAAAAAAGACTGCTCTCTGTCCAGACTAATATCCTTGTCCCCCCAGGACATGACTCCCACATTGAGGGCCCTCTCAGGGAACGCAGGTTCATTTTAATAACTCTGTTGGAGCCCGGCCAGTGTGGCTCAGTGGTTGTGCATCAACCTATGAACCAGGAGGCCACGGTTCAATTCCTGGTCATGGCATATGCCAGGATTGCAGGCTCGATCCCCAGCATAGGGTGTGTAAGAGGCAGCCGATCAATGATTCTCTCTCACCATTGATGTTTCTATCTCTCTCTCCCTCTCCCTTCCTCTCTGAAAACAATAAAAATATTTTTAAAAAATTAAATCTATCGGAAACAAATAGAACTAGAAAGCTTGGACTGTGGCTTGGGTCACATCTAGTCGCTGATCTGTAGCTCCAAATCCATCCACAGTATCAAAGGTAATGACACCAGAGGGTGCAAAACATTGACTTCTACTCTTGGGGTGCCTATATTCCCATATGCCAGAGACATCCCAAGTTTACCTGGTGTAGTTAACACTTTTAGCGTCCTGGTTTGGATCATTTATGTGGACACTCTACCCCCACCCCATCGCATGAGCGACCCCTACTGGCCTGGAAGCTAGGAACCGGCTTGGTGAACCGACCCGCTCAGAACCACTCCTCCAGGGGCTGCCCACCTTTGTCACTCACCTCCCGCCTGCTTCCCCATCAGCGGAAAGAACTGGCTGGCTTTGTCCCTCTTCACCTCCTGAAGCTGGAGCTGAATGCTGGGGGCGACACCTTCCTGAAAGGCAGAGAGTTTGTTAGAGCGAGAGGAAGGCTGGCGGGGAGACGGAGGGCAGCCTAAGCAATAACAGTTTCAGTGACACTTGCTCTGTGCTGGCCCGGGGCTCGTTTGCATGTATTACACAATATTACGCAGTAATAATTTATAGTCAACGTTTCACCTACTGTGTTCCTGGCTCTGTTCTAAGCACTTTAACATTAATTCTCTTTGATCCTCACCAAAACACCATGATGTAAGGACTATTATTGCACCATTTTATTTTTTAGATATATTTTTATTGATTTCAGAGAGAAGGGGAGAGGGAGAGATAGAAACATCAATGATGAGAGAGAATCCTTGATCAGCTGCCTCCTGCACGCCCCATCCTGGGGATGGAGCCCGCAATCCGGGCATGTGTCCTGACCAGGAATTGAACCGTGACCTCCTGGTTCATAGATCGATGCTCAACCACTGAGCCACGCCAGCCGGGCATTGTCACCATGTTACAGATGAAAGCGCAGAGAGGTTAAGTCATTTGTCCAAGGTCACCAGCGAGGAAGTGAGAGCGGCTCCAGGACTTGAAGCCGTCACCTGCCTCAGAGGCTCAAACACAGCAGCATAATTTCGTTTACTCTTCACAGCCACCATATGAAGCAGCGACTATGAGTAATTCCCATTTTGTAGATGGAGGTTAAGTGATCTGTCCAAGATCACACAGGAAGTGGCAGAGCCAGGATTTAAACTCAGGCAGTCTGGCTCCAGAGCCTGGATTCTGCTCCACCTGGGGGCATGTCCCCAACATAGACAAGGAGGGGCCGCTGAGGGACTCAGGGTGGGCACCCCGTAGGCAAGGTGAGACTGCTTCCCCTCCCAACCCCACCCTAGTCTCCTTTCTTCCTCGGGCAACACCCCCCCACCCCCCTGCCCTTGCCCCAGATTCACCCTGCCCTAGAGCCTGGGCCTCCCATGAGGAACGTGGCCTGGGGCCTGGGGTAGAGGCCACTACTTTGGGCAAAGACATTTTCTTTCTTGAGCTAATGCGGTGAAAGTTCTGGACCAAGGGCTATGGATTGAAGTCATTCCTCCATTAGCCTTGGCCAAATTCTCTCCTGTGGCCCCTGCTAAGAGGGGGAGAGGCTCACTGGTGGGAGAGTGACAGTGGGTGACATTCATTAGACCTTCTTCATGTCTCTGCATCCCTGGTGCCTGGCACAGTGCCTGGCAGACAGAAGCTCAGCCTGTGTGGGTTAAAGAACGCTGAACAAGGGCCTTTCTCTGACAGTGGGAAGAGGGCAGAGGACGGGGTCTCCTTTTCCAGGAAGGTTGAAGACAGGACTAGCAAGCAAAATGAGGAGCTGGGGGAGCAGGGTGATGGGGCCTCCCTCTTCCATCCCCAGTTTCCCCAGGGGCAGCGCTGGCGCTCCAGGAACCAGCAGGGACCTGGCTAGGGTGCAGAAAACCCCTATTCCTCACATCGTTTGTTTCGTCCCAACTTTTAGGACCAGAAGTGGATTTTCCTCTAAGACGTGGACCAATTCAGTCCCTTCCCATCTGTCTCCTCCCCCGGACGTCAGTGGCTGGGGCAGCTTCTTGGCTGGAGTCGCCTGGCCTGGCCAGGAACCGGAATAGTCTCTCAGGAGATTTGGAGCCATTTCTGGAAAGCTGGTGAAAACCACTGTGTCCTGGTAAGAGGCGGCCATCAAATACAAGCTGGGGAGAAGGGCTATTTATAAACTAAATAACGTTCACCTTTCCCTCACCCACTGGGTTTTTGGGGGGGGAGTTTCCTAGGAGACATCCTTCACTTTCACTCGGGAAGGACTCCTGCCCCCCTCTAAGCCCTCTCCTTATCCATTTAACCCAGTGGTCGGCAAACTGCGGCTCGAGAGCCACATGCGGCTCTTTGGCCCCTTGAGTGTGGTTCTTCCACAAAATACCGACTTCTGTGCCTGGGCCACGAAGTTTCAATCGCGCTGTACGTGTGCGCCTGCACGTGGTATTTTGTGGAAGAGCCACACTCAAGGGGCCAAAGATCCGCATGTGGCTCGCAAGCCACAGTTTGCCGACCCCTGGGCTATAC